GTAGGGATGCTGCAATGGTCGGAAGTCTGAAAAATGGTTGTAAGTCCCTTTTTTCAGTGCTGTTGTAACTTTGGATGGTCACTAAGTTGAGGACAACATGGAGATCCTAGCGTCTGGAGCTAGCGAGGGAGCTAAATTTTTCAGCTTTTGAAGGGAGAAGTTGGTTGGGTGAAGGAGCATCTGTATTCCTTGTTCTCTCCCTCCCTCCCACCCTCCCTCTCTTTCTCTCTCTCCCTCCCTCCCCCTTTCCCTCCTTCTCTCTCTTTCTCTCCCTCTCCCTTTCTCTCATCACTCTTTCTCTCCTCTTTCTCTTTCTCTCCTCTCTCTTTCTTTCCCTCTCTTTCTCTCATCACTCTTTCTCTCCTCTTTCTGGAGTGTCTGGAACGGTATCTCCCTGCTTGAGGAGAGGGTTGGGCTATAAGACCTCCAAGGTCCCTTCCAACTCTCTGTTATTCTATTCTGTGGGATGTGATTTGTATCCAAAGCACATAGATCTTTAGCATCTTCCCTGTCTGCCAAGAGAGGTTCAGGATCCTGTTAAGTGAGAATCGACATCCGGGTTGTTGTTTCCTTTAGAATCTTCTTTTAAGCTCCTTGGGTTGGCAAACACTGCAGGGTTGAGAGCCGGAGAACTGGTAGCTTGGTTGGCATTTGGCTATGATCCAGTTGGGCAAGAGCTCTTAGTGGTGTCCCTAGAAGAGGAAACAGAGCTTCCTGAGTGTTCTGAAGAAATCCAAGATATTCCCTATTTAAAACGATTTAAGAGGGTGTGGCACACCTTTCTATGGCATATGGGGAAAACCAAGCAAAAATATTTTCATAGACATTTAATTAGAGACTCCCTATTGGCCAGCTGGAATAAAATAAGGGAAAAAAGTATTATTTAAAGGTCACTATCTGGCTCTCAACAATGGAGGCGATGATCTACCTGAATAGTTTGGACAGTAATAAGATGTTAAAGTATAAAGATTTATTGGATACACAAGGAAATTTGAAATTATGGCAAGACTTCCAGGAACAAAGGTTACGAATGGACTGATGGGCATATCTCCAAGTCCAGAATAGATATAGAGAAAGATTTTGGAATCTATAATGAATCACAACAATTAGACAAAATTTTATTAGGCTCTGATAGAAAAAACATAACCAAATTTTACAAATATCTATTAGAAATAGAATTAGAGGAAGAAGTGGTTAAAGGTAATATGATAGCTTGGAGTAGGAATATAGGCAGAATGGGAGAAGATTTGGAACAGAAACAACAAAATGACAAAATCGGCATCGTATAAAGAAAACGCCTATAAAATGTTCTACAGATGGCATCTACTCCCTTTAGGTTGGTGAAGATGTCTCCTACCATGAGCCCTAATTGCTGGAAGTGTAAAAAGAAAGAAGGAACATTTTACCACATGTGGTGGTCTTGTACAGAAATCCAAAATACTGGATGAGAATTAAGAAATGGATAGAGGAAATCACGTTTGAGCAGACTGAACTTAAACCAGAATTCTTCCTATTAGGGATCCTCAATAGACAATTCCCGCCCCCCCCCCCCAAAAAAAAAAAGTTAAATATATAATACTGCATATACTGACGGCAGCTAGATTAGCTTTTGCACAATGCTGGAAACAACCCTATATTCCACCAGAGGAAATGATTATTCAGAAAATATCAAATTGTGCTGAAATGGATAAATTAACTTTAGCACAAAAAAATAAGGATGAATCAGAGCACTATAGCAGGTGGAATTGTTGGTATGAGTGGATGGACCGAAGATAGATCATAGATAATAATAATAATCAACTGTAAATGAGGGACAGTGAGGATAGTAGTAATTAGATATTCGCACTAAAGATTATTTGCAGATAAATATCATTTAACTGTATTCCCCTTTCTTTTTTGTTTTTCCCTCCCTCCCAACCTATGTGTGTGATGTTTGTATATTTTAATTGTAAATCTAATAAAGTTTATTGAAAAAAATAAAAATAAAATTATTTAAGGGAGAAAATTAAAGAGGGGAAGAGCATAAACCAGAGTTGGTGAGAGTCAAGGAGAGAACCAAGTCCTCTTAGAAGACGAGGCAAGATCAGACAAGGATTAGATTGATATCAATCAAGACTTTAATTTGAGAATTAGGGGCAGACACAGAATCTTGAAAACCACAGTAGGGACCTCCTGTTTTATTAAATATAAGGGAGAGGAAGAGAAAGATAGTGGTGGAGAAGGAAGAGAAGGGAGGGAGGAAGAAAAAAAGGCAAGAAGAAGAAGAGGAGGAGAAAGGAGGAGGCGAGAAGAAGAAGAAGAACAAGAAGAAGGAGGAGGGAGGAGGAGGAGAATGAGAAGAAAAGGAGGAGGAGGGCGAGGGGAAGGAGAAGTAGAAGAAGAGAAGGAAGATGGAGGAGGAGGAGGAAAAGGAGGAGAAGAAGAAGAATGGAGGAGGAGGAAAAGGAGAAGAAAAGGAGGAGGGGTGGGGAGGAGGAGGAGGAGGGGAGGAGGAGGAGGAGGAGGAGAGAGAAGAAGAGAGAAGGAAGATGGAGAAGGAGAAGGAGAAGAAGAAGAAGAGGAGGAGGAGGAGGAGAAGGAGAAGAGAAGGAAGATGGAGAAGGTGGAGGAGAAGAAGAAGAAGAACAAGAAGAAGGAGGATGGAGGAGGAGGAGAATGAGAAGAAAAGGAGGAGGGCGAGGGGAAGGAGAAGTAGAAGAAGAGAAGGAAGATGGAGGAGGAGGAAAAGGAGGAGAAGAAGAAGAATGGAGGAGGAGGAAAAGGAGAAGAAAAGGAGGAGGGGTGGGGAGGAGGAGGAGGAGGGGAGGAGGAGGAGGAGGAGGAGAAGAAGAAGAAGGAGAAAATTATTCATTATTAAGTTCAAGAAAGATTGGAATCTCCCCTCCTGGGTTCTCTGAACAAGGCTTCCATTCTTGGACAAGCTACCAACAAAATCCTCTCCCCTCTTTAGATGTCCTAACATTCCTCCTGTTCCTTTCTCAGTCCACAGACAGCATCCCAGAGAACCCAAGCAGGGGATTTGCCTTGAAGTGCTACCTGCAGCTCATTCTCCACCTAGCACCCTTCTTACTTACAACAATTGCCCAGCCAAATACATCGGACAAATCAACTGGAGAATAAATGCACGCATCGCAGAACACAAAAACATAGTCAGAAGAGAATAAAATATTTCCTCCCTCTTCCAGCACCTTAAAGCCACAGGACATGAAATTAATTTCGAAGGAACCAAATTAATATCCAACGCTGAACACTCCAGCAAGAGAATAATCAGGGAAGCCATCGAGATAGAGAAACACCCCCATAACATGAATAGACGGGATGATACCTCCCGCCTACTAGACATCTGGAAGCTAACCCTCACCAACAAACGAGTCCCAGCCATGAAAACCAACACCAGACCCAAAACAACACGGGACACCACCGCCAATCCCCCTCATCAGACCCAGGCCCAAGCCCATCCTATAAACGAAGGACAACCACCATCCATAAACCAGACCACGGCTGCCTCACCAGCTGTCGCACCCCCCAACCCCAAAACCAAACAAGCTGACACACGCCAAGAACACAGACACAGACCCCAAACTCGAAGCCAGACTAAAACCCAGAATGCTACATCACAGCCACCCGCTCAGGATATCACATCAGAAAACTCAGGAAATTACACCACAAGAACTCAAGAAGTTGCAACACAGCAAATGACCCAGGATATCACAGCACAAGACCAAGGATACCACAGCAATAAGTCTCACAAGGTCATCACACAACTCATTACCCAAGCCATCACCCATTACTACACAGGAGGCTAATGCAAAAGAGATCAAAACACAAATGACCCAGGAGATTACAATGCAGGACCCAGGATACCACAACAAAAGAACTCGCAAGCCCATCACACAACCCATTACCCAAGCCGTTAAAACCCGAGAGGCTAATGGGAAAAAGATCACTACAAAACAAATGACCCAGGAGATTACAGCACAAGATCCAGGATATCTCCATAACAAAACTCACAAGGCCATCACACAACCCATTATACCAACATCAACTCCATCAACCAATCAAGAGGCAGCAGCGCAGCCAACTAGCCCAGCACACCAGCCCCCACCACCAGTATTTATAGAGAGACGGCAGCTCCGATCACACACTGCTTGCACTGGCACGAAGCCGAAAGCACCAGCCTGAGGATGGTGAGTGGGACCTCGCTGAAATGTCGCCAAGGTACTCTTAAGGTACTCTTACGGGAAAGGTACTCTTACGGGAAAGGTACTCTTACGGGAAAAGACCCAAGGTATTCTTACGGGAAAAGACCCAAGGTACTCTTACGGGAAAAGACCCGAACACACCTAGACCTATATATATATAATGACTACAATGACGTGGGATGGATATATATCTATATCTATATCTATATCTATATCTATATCTATATCTATATCTATAT